CTACATGACCTTTCTTTGCAAAGTTATAGAATTTACAAGAAAAGCCCTAAATTAATTTCTTATTTCTGTAGCTTTAAGCTAACAATGAACATTTAGGGCTTTTCTTGTAAATTCTATAACTTTGCAAAGAACCACTCTCGAGAGGCCTAGCAGCACGTCTCATGTTGATATTCGGAATCAGCATGGTCGACTACCTATAGTCCACTAGGTTTCGGCTCGAAAGCGATCGGACAGTTGGGGACCTTCCCTCGTTAGTTGTATGAGTGTCAAAAAGTGCATTAGAAAATGGCGATTTTTTGACATTATGATGCTTCAATTTTGGTGATTCCTTATCAAACTTGATGAAAAAGTATAAAGGTTGTAAAACTCACTCTGAGATCGATTGTCGAAACTTCAAAATCACGACTCAGAATTCGAATATCCCTCGAAATTGAATTTTCGCAGAACTTGACAAAATTCAATGAATTTGATAAATGACCTTTCCCATTAGGAAAGAATAGGAAGTGAGATGTTTTTTCCTCGCCAAAAGTTGAAAACATATGCGACTTTCAGTGAAAATTCCAAACATTTTCTGCCAACGTTTTACAGTTTCGTAGTATCTGATGATACAAAGCCGTTTTTTTAAGTGTTCTTCTCCTTTTTTCCAGCAAAAAGTCAACAAAAAGACACTAACAGTCAACAAAATCTTGCAGGACGTCTATAATTTTATCTTTCTTCGACTGATATCTATCAGAAGGTTATATGAAAGTAATTTCTGGCAAAAACTCATAGACTTTCAGCCAAATTGTCAGTCTCTCTCATTCTGAAAAAGTAATCGAGAAGTTTTTTTCTAATCACAATTAACTCTCCGAAGTTACATGATTGATTTCATGAAAGTGACATTGTACCTTACGATGCCAGGTTGAGCTGTATCTATCTGATAAAGAAAGAACAGCAGTCAGGAGTGGGAACCGGAGGGATGCCGACGACTGACTGCGAAATATTTATAATAGATCATAACAGTATGTTATCACTCTAAGCCTGACCGATTGAAGTATTTTCCAAAGTATTCGTCAACAAAATCATAGTGATTTTTTCACATACTTGTATTTAACCAGCAACAGGTCTCAAACACAAAGTTGACAAAGAAATGGTGAACAACAATGAGATTCGACTCAGTCGAGAGTCCAGCGAGTTGTCCCGACGAGCGTAACTTGTAATTACATTTTTATATCTTTTTTGATTTCATCTGACTTTAATCACAGAAATAATGAAGTAGTTTGGAAGATTTTTCTGTCTTGTGGAAGAACAATCAAATAGGTTCAACATCTAGAGTTTTTTCAGAGTTGCATCAAAACACAAAGAGAAGCCGCAAAACTGCTGAAATATGTGAAAATTTTGTGTCTCCAGTCGATCACTCTACAGCATAAAACTAAACAGTTAAATAGTGCAAGTCTCACTAAGAAAAATTACTTCTGATGTGCACGCGTAAGTCTTAAACCTTTGAGACGTCTTATTGAAATACTCGCATATATTATCACTGGTAAAAACAATCCGGACATCATGAATCATCATCGTGTTGTTATCAATGACTATTGCTTACACAAAATGATTCCTCTGTGCACATTAGTCTGCAAGAAAGCAAATTCTTTTTCCATTATCATGTTTTTAAATGATTGTATTTAGTAATTTAAATTAGTCAATAATTTCACCGTATTCTTTCCGAAATTGATAGTATTTAAGAATGGATTTTCAAGCTTCGTTCATAAAAAAATGCATCTGTCTTGGATAGTTTATGTCGTCAGTCATATATAGTATCTACAAAAGAAGAACACATTCTGACGAACTTTTATAATTTTATAACAAACTGAATCGTCTCATAGAATAGCAGTTTTCATATTTTTATTCCTATTAATAAGGAAAACATAGATAAATATCCTAAAAACTTTTCTCTAATGTGCTAAACATATAAAACAACATTTTTATTTTTAAGTGATGTATATAATAGTTGCACAAATCTATCTGAAACAATGTTGTGAGCAACTTCTCAATTTTAATGAAGTTTCACTTGAATATGTTCTCTCCTTAGTAAGAAACTACCAATATTTTTGAAGTTGAGAGTACGGCTACGTTTCAGAACTTTATATTAAAAGTAAAATGAACTGATGGTAAACTATAGAATCGCTTCGTATGATAGTTAGATAAATGATTGTTTAGATAGATTCTTTTGCGCAGATATTCGTACGTTACGTTTGACGTCAAAGAAAAAATAAATGCATACTCATATAATGGTTTAAGGAGAGGATGAATAAATAGGCATAGTATAATAGCGCATGGTTTCGTGTTTATAAATGCACGCATGAATAATGAATAATTCCACTACACCCCCTCATCTATACAACAAGCAAATATATAAGACGAACAAAACCTCTCGTTAATAACATTCTTATTTTATTTGACGACTATTATACAACTATCAATACAATATGCATCATCATCATCCATTTCTTGATGCAGGAATAGGTGCTTTCGGTGGCTATGAACTCGGACGTCATACCGGCTTTGGCAGTCCACTTCTTGATGCAGGAATAGGTGCTTTCGGTGGCTATGAACTCGGTGGCGGTGGCTTTGGTGGCGGTGGCTTCGGTGGTCCATTTGGTGGCGGTGGCTTCGGTAGTCCATTTGGTGGCGGATTTGGTGGCGGATATGGCGGATATGGCGGCGGATATGGAGGATATGGTGGCGGATATGGAGGATATGGTGGCGGATATTGGTAATATGGTCATCATCATCAGCACATCTTTTAAGAAAAAAATTATATAACTGCTTACTCATTTTTTCTGTACATTTAACATCATTGCGTCTATTTTAATAAACCAGCTCGACTACAACTCCAAAGAAAATCTTTGATGTTTCTAAGCTAAATCCTTCTCAGATTAAATAAGAATCCTTCAAGAATTTGCCGTTCTTTCCCGAGGAAACACTAAAATCCTCAAAGAGGCATGTAGCTACAGACTTTCAAGATCCACACAGCATTCAAATCAACATTTCACACATTCAACACAACTTAGTTTTCGTAGAAAATGTTTTTCGATATGTTCACTTTCGAGGACAATTAGCTTCTAATAAATGCACTTAGAGACCTATCGATTATCTTCTACCAACTATTTATCGTTCTCTTCTTTGCATCGCTGCATAATGAGTAATTTTTTGCAATCAACTAAAAAATCGTTTAAGGTACTTGTTCGTTCGTTGTCACGTTATATGTAACACGTGCCAGGTAATGGATGTAAAGCTAGCACAACGATCAATCAGGTATCTCATAGAACAGATCAAAGCATGTAATACCAAATACCATCCATAAAATACCAAAAAATCTTTCCTAATAGTTATCGGTAAAAAATATAAGCGAAAAAACACAAACTATCGAACACTGTTACTAAAAACTCATTCTTATGCAACATATAGTCTAAAAATCAACTTCCTCAGTAACTTACTTCAAGTCTGTTTTTTGAGAAAAGGTGTGCAAACGTAAATTTAATTTGGTTAGATGGTGGTCGAAGATATCATTGACATTGCAGATTTGATGTTTATTCGAGTTGTTTACCGTTTATAAAGATTTTTTGATGGGAATTAATAATTGTTTTCGTAGTATATTGATCAATGAAAAAGTATGTCAATTTAGCAGAACTCCGTGAGATGGCGTTGTCATCGCCCCGTACTGTTTCACATTCCGCGCTTTCTTGTCCCGTGCTTTCATATCCCGTCCGATCCCGCGGACGTAACTCTTCTTTCTCGAAATATAATCAAAAAAGTCCAGTAAATTTATATTTTCTTCTTTAATTCTTAATTTATTCTACTATTTATCTGTTTCAAACTAATATTTACATGACAACCCATGTGGTCAAAATCGCACAAAAATTGACCATTTTATCGCGATTGATTGGCCGATTAATCGTGCGCTTAATCGAGATGAAATCGGTAAAAGGGACGATTTTTTACCAGTCTTTTTCGAAAAAGTTGTGAGTCACAGTGATTTCGGTAAAATAACCATTTCTTATTGGTGATATAATCGACGATTTTTTTAAAAATCGCGATTAATCATCCTATTCGAGACGATTTTGAAGATCTGAGAAATAGTATATTATTAGCATTTTGAGGATTGATTAAACATTGACGTTCAGTCATAACGAGTCCACCACCACTGAATTCTCGTTCGTCGTTTCTTTTTTTAACGGGTGGTTCAGATGCATTGTTTTACAGAACTGTTCGTTCTTGTCGATTAAATAGAAGATGTTTTAATGTTTCTCGCTCAACTATTTTCTTGATTTCTTCATGGACATAATTTTTGCAAGAGTTAATTTGAGCATTCGAACATTTTCGAAGATATCTATATCCTGGCTGAAGAAATGTAGCTGCATAATAAATAGTTTCCAGAATAAACATAGATTCGAGTAATTCGAGAAGTCAAAGGTGCAAAGAGCGAATACCTGAAAGTAAATAGTTTTTCATGAAACTATTCACCTCTCATAATGATTAAACTTACCATCAGACTCTTTGGATTCCAAATCATATTTATCGTCATCAACTTACTTTCCTTTTTTCAATGACGTTTCATCAGTTTCTTTGTTGAACGTGACCACATCTTCGAAGGAAGTGAAAGCCTCGTGCAGGGTCAGTGCACAAATAAGAACTAAATACAATGACAGTGCATTTTCTTTTTGTATTACCGTCATGATATGCTTGAAACAACGTAATAAACGGATAAGATATTTGAGAATCAACCGATCAATTATAAAACATTTCTTCATTTTCTCTTGAAGAAGTTTTTGTTTTTTTGAAAGAACGATCAATCGATCCAAATGGTTGCATTATCGAAAGCCAGCGAACTTTCGTAGATTGACATAAACTAACACCACCTTCTGCTTGGGTATACTTTTAATGTCCATTCTACAAAATAAAAAATAAGTGAACATTTGCTCCTTCGTTAACTCACTAATTTGATATATATCACGATATTCGTGCAATTGTTTAACATTTTTAGAACTTCTCGAGCACAACTAGGTAAATCTTTTCATCAATACCAGCAGCTGAAATGTAACAGTTAACTAAATCTTCTGAAAATAAATACATTACACTCTGTTAAATCAGACGAACAGTTTGTCTGATCTTTTACTGATTCATTCTGGCAAAAGCATAGTGTAACGAAAAACTATATATATAAGACACTATTTCTATATATGAGTCGGTGGTCGAGAAGTCACTCCCTATTGCAGTTCGAATATAAATGGAGATTTTAAAAATAAATCGTAGCATGAAATCCTTGGAGAAGGCATAGTTTTAGCTATTCCTACTTATAATTCATACTAACACATAGAGTAGTCATTATATGTAAATTATAGCTAAGAAAAACTAAAAACATCTATTGCTAACAATTCCTATTTCTACAGAACAACATATATATGACCTATAGAACCATATAGCTAAAACTACATCTATTTCTATTATACACCGAAATTCTAGCTCACGTTTTCTTCATTTATTCTCGAACTTTTACCAAGTAACTGAATCTTCATTCACTAGTCGACGTTCTTGCCATCGTGCTTTCCAGATCCTTGTTTTTCTTGATCAGTTCGTCAAGATTCTTTTTAATCTTGAACTTCGGGACAGATTCTTTTTAAGAGGAAAGAAAAAAGAATCTTGCTAGAAGTTCAAGATAAAAGACTCTTGACTGCTTGATCAAGAAACACAAGAATCTGGGAAGAATTACAAGATATTTAGAATTTCTTGAAGTAAAGTTCACATCAGACTCTTGAGACAGAAAAGAAACAAGATTCTTCTCTGATCTCTAAGACAAATGTCACGTGATTGTGTCACGTGTTTGTGTGCATCTATCTATAATTTGATTATTTTGTCAAATGCACCGAAAGTGTTATACAGAGAACTATGAATGATTTATTTCATTAAATCAATTCGGTAAATAAAAATAAGGGGCTTTATTCTTAATCAAGGTTACATTGATAGGCTTTCTCGACTATAAAATGTGTGTTATTTCGTTGAGTTGCTTCTTCATAAGGTTTTTCTATGAACAATATTTATTTGATGTTCATTCAAAGACATGAATAATTCGAATACAAAGAATACCTTCAACTATGTGTGTAATCAAGCTAAGAAAAGCATTACAGTAGAGAAAAAATACTCGCTATAAATACCTGCAGAATTGTTATAAGTTCCAGGATTTAATATCCATCACAATCTCTTTGTCCGAGGCGACACGCTTCTTTTGACCGATCAGAATTAGCACATTTTGCATGAGAAGTATCACAAGATATTAAAGAACCGCCACAAATCCAGCCAAATTTGTATTTACACTTACATGTTTTTCCACTTGGAGCAGGCCACGAAATTTAATCATTTATACCCCATTCGATAATGATTCGTCATGTTGTCTGTCTATCTATCTTGACTTCCATATCAATGAATTCTATCGAATATTAAAGTGTCTTTGATTATCATGTAGAATCTTGATTCAGAACATATTTGACGATGACCCTTAAACAAGGTCAAAACGCGTCGTAGGATGCTTTGAATGAATTCAGTGAAACTGACCCTCACACCCTCAAATTCTTTTTTTTCAAAATTTCTTACATTGATGAGTCTATGTCAATTCAATAATTCGAATTCGAACCGAACTTTTTCTGTTTGAAATTTTGAAAAATTGTCTTATTTTCGAATTGATTCGATTCTGTTAGCACTCTATTTTATATTCGTACTAAGCATCTCATGGCATAGATGGAATATTCCCTTTCGTATTATCTCTCACCACATATATATATATACTTGTTCGTTTTTTTCGCTTTGTCTTTTCTTTTTTTCTTCGTTTACGACACTCTTGTCAGTAGCTGAAGTCCTTTTGACTGACCTATTAGTCATCTTCATCTAACTCTTTCGTCGTGTAACTACTAGGATCTTTTGTTTACGACTCAATTTATCGACTGGTTGAATAAATACCGGTACTCTTATCACTCTTTTCGCTATAATCAGAGAGAAAGATTCGTACTTCATACATTAATTCGTGAATATTGACATTGTCGTAACGTCTTGTATTGAAATCGGTATCGATCTAAGAGTGCCCGAGATTAGTAACGATTCTTTCATTCTACCTCGTCTCTGTTGAAAAACAGCTTTTCACCTATATAGTTCAGTGGAAGATGATCACTTTCAAAGTCTCCCACTATTTTTCAGAGGTCATTTGTTAGACATAACTAGCAGAACTTGATAAATCAGAGAATAATTTTCAATTCTGACCTGTAGAATTCCAATGTAAACGAGTAGAAACTATCCCATAAATATCTGATCCATAAAACAGTAGATAAAGGAAGATAGTGACAAGCGGACAAAACTCTAAAATTCTAACTTGTCTAGAAAATGATTTGCCATCTCTTTTTTTTCGATAAACATGATTCTGTCAGCACAATGGAAACATGTTTTAAATACATGTCAATGTTAAAAATAGAAAACATATTACAAATACGATCTATTGTAAAGTACATGATAGTGACGAATACCACTTGGACACCTGTTCATTGTTGGATAACTAAAAGAAAGATATGCAATGACAAGCGACTAAGTTTTGATGCATTCAAAGTCAAAAGTATCTTGTAAAACTATTTAGCACGAATAAGAATGCCATTGGATTTCTATGAGTAAGAAAATAATTTCTTATACTCAAGTCGATTTTGTTGTTGATTTCTCCACCAGAAATTTGCTTTACGAAGATGGGGCATCGCTCAGATAAACATTATGTAGGTGAAAACTTCAGCTAATTGCTTTCTTTATCTGATACAGAAAGTTTACTTATGTGAAATTTCGAATATCCACATACTTTTTCGTTATTTATCCATAAATGAATTTTGTTGTGAACGATTTTGAATGTAAAATTATTATTAGCCTTTAAACGTCGAGAATTCTTGATGAGCCAATTACGTGTCACTGGCGATGATCGAAAATGAAGACTGGTCGATAGATGATGAATGATTGAGTTCAAATTTTGAAATTGATAAATATCTCAGTCGATAAATCAATAAAAGTAAATCATCACGAGAAGTTAATTCCATATTCAAACGTTCAAGGGGAAGAAAGATAGTACATAATCAATTGATATCCAATTGTATTCGAACTTTTGCTCTTGTATTGATGTCTCGTACGTATAAACTACGTATCTTCTCAAAGACAACATTATTTGGTACATTATTCAATACTGACAGATCCCGAAATGAAATTGAGTGCAAGAAATGCATATGTTCAACAAGACTGATAAACGCAACTAATCCAATATCAGTGATAATTTCGTCTGTATCGAATACGAGTGATGTTATATTTGTAAAACGATGAGGAACTGGATTGAGTAATGACATATGATATATATCGATATATTCATCAAGACAGAGATCAGACGATGTACATAATGGTGGCCAATCAGTATATGAATATATGACAGTATTTGATATGAAACGAGGTATTGTGAAGATATGTCGCATATGTGAACCATCATAGGCAACAAACCAACGTTTATGTTCAAGCCAAAATAATGAAAGAAATGACTGAAGAATATTTTCTTCGGAAAAATTCCATAACGGATCGAGAAGATGAATTCGAAAATCGAATATAATAAGATTTGAAGCAATTAATTCCCATTGTTGACCATCAATAAGATCCATATAACCTTCAGTATCAAGTTCGAAATGTATTAGATTAGGTATTTTAGATAAGAATTCTTTTATTTGGATCATTGTCAATTTTTCACCTTAATACAAAACAAAGATTATATAACATAAACCCCTCCCATAACAGAAGACCATCCCCTATTAGAAGACCACTGCCGATTATATGACTTGAAAGCCAAATAGAAGACCATGGTCTTCTAACTC